GCCAGGTGAAGAGGAGTTCAACCCATGTGGTCCGCGACCATGGGTGACCGGACAGCGCCGAAATCTACAAAAATCGGATTCTGCTGGACAGGCTTCGCGACACCCAAAAATTCTGGGTTAAATTTAGATTTTTGAATTGTTGTTTGTGTTAAATTGGGGCCATGGTTGGGGTCGGTTTGTGGTGAGTAATCGACCGGTGGTGGGCTCCGATCAAGTTGGTGGCCGAAGGTGGAGTTTCTGGCAATTTTCAAATGTCCGAACAACATACTTTGTGGATTGATTTCTGCCAAATCAAGTTGAGTTATGGGAAGATGTTGGTTAAGAATTGAAGAGGAGGTTAAGGGCTTTCCGATGGTACCAATATCTGGTGGTCTTGGTGGCCAAAAATTGCCAGAAATTTGATCCATGATGGTGGTAGGTGAAGGGTTGATTTGGTGGTAGAGATGGTTTTCGAAACAGGCTTGGGGTTTGGCCAACAGTACATGCGTTTTTGACTTTTACGTTTTAAGAAACATTTTTTTAAAATGACCAAAAAAACGTGCTTTCAACAATTTTAAAATGGACATTCAAAATACAAAACTCAAAATGAAATTCAAAACTCAAAACAGAAAACTCAACCACGAAGAGAACGCCTCCTAAGATTTTCTTTTTTTAAGTTTTGGTTCTCTCTATGATTCTTCCATTATATATATATATATATATATATGGAAAAATATGGGATATAAGAAATGAATAAATTAATTCAATATTTAAGAACTATTCAAATTTCAGGATTTTCAAAGATATTTGGACATATTTGAAAATCTTTTATTTCCCATTTTCTTTGGGTGTCTAAGAAAACTAAAAAAAATTGTGTCTGGAATTGATTTTGAAAATTTTATTTCGATAATTTATTTGTGTTCAACACGAATAGAAGATTGTTTAAGAAAAACACGAAGTGAAGCTGCAAACTATTTTTTCAGTCCATCGGTTCATTTTTTGCTCCCTACTTGAAATTAATTTTTTTTTTTTTTTTGGTTTTTTTTCAATTTCGTGAGTATGAAGTGGGTTTAATGTAATGAAGTGCATTCTATGTTAATGTAAAAATACTATCTTAATGAGTGTGAAGTGGGTTTATTTTTCATTAGAGGGTTTATTTTTTGTGAGCGTGAAATAGGTTTATTTTTCATCACCGTTTAAGGTTCGTAATTAGTCTTTCATTATTCTTGTAGTTTTATTAGTTTGCACACCAAAATTTGTAGCTCCTTAACGGCTCAAAGATTTAGATGTTGATGAAAGACTTAGATGTTGATGTTGAATAAGTAAATGGAACATTGTTCGAATTCACAATTTAGTCTATTAATTTATTTCGTGAACTTCAATTGTTGATTTCATGGGATTGCCAATAATGTCTTTGCATTTACATTTATCATGAAAAACCAATATGAATGTGAAATGTAAACATTAATTTTCGACAGCTATGGAACCATATGTAGAGATAAACTTTCATTTTCGATAGCTGGTCTCTGAAATTCTCGATAGTTGACTTACTTATTTCGATAGTTAGTTCTGTAAGTCAAATTTTGTTCAGCTTCTCTTCTACGTGTAGTTTTAGGATTTTTCAACCTTATGATTTGAAACTCGGTTCTTTTGCATGAAAGTACATACTTGAAAGGTACATGCCTGGACAGTCACAAAGTTCCCTATGCTAGTGGCGTAATGGAGGCTGATGGTAAGTTCCGTAATGGAGAAGTTATACAATATCAAATTTTTATATTATACGTTAAGCATGTTTAGTTGAAAACTAATGTTCATTTTCGATATTATGCTTTAAATGTTGGTAGGATCTGTTATCATCTTCCATTGTTAAATATTGGTAACTAATACGATTCAAATCACTTTTTTGTAGGAGTAAACGTTGATGTACCATTGGCATCGACCATGCCCGTTTGAGGTGACAATGATGTTAACATAAAGAGGCCATGATAGACACATTTAAGTTCTTGCTATATCGATCGAGACTTCATTCACCAGGGAGAGTTGAAAAGAGTCGAATAACGTTAAATCAAGCAACATAGGATACATTCTAGGAGTTAACTGGGGAAAATAGTCGCACATTCTCAAGGAAAGTATAACTGTTGTTTTGAGTAGTTAATAATGTAATAGCACTTTTGAGTGTATTTCCTTCACAATGAAAAATTATCATAATAGTATTTTTGTGTAACTTTCTACTTTAGATTTGTTTTACAATTCCTAGTAGTGATGCGCTTTCTTTCATTTTGGTATAACTTTCACTTAAACTTTGTTTGCTTCCAGGAGAAATTTGACAGCAACATAACTGAATTTGTTAATTTTGCATCTAATTTATGCATAGGTTATCAGCTTTATTTTTTATTTTTTAGTTTCTGTCAGGGATTGACGTGTTAACATATATACATAATGTTGTGCATCAAATTATCCATTATACCCGAATTTTTAGTCTAATTCACTACTTTGAATTGATTAGTCGAAAATTACTGAGACAATCTATGGGAATCAATAGTTGAAGTGTCTAAAGTACTTTATCAGTAATGTTATATCTATATAACTAATACATACAAACGATAATGATACGAAACTGATAATATAATTTAAAATGTTTAACGCCATCATTGTGTGATGCAAAATACAACTTCAACCTTTAAACATAATTCTTATTTATGTGTTTTGTGTTCGAAATCCATATAATGCTATTATTGTGCCATGCAAAATACAAATTTAAACGTTGAACATCATTCCTATTTACGTGTTTGTTCGAACATGTGGACCAATTATGATTAACTCTTCACACCAATTGCATCTCTTGATACATAGGCTAAACTCGTATTATTACTCATGTATGAAAAGTTGATATTGCAACAATAAACATTCTGTACAATCAATATGTCGGCATTAATAGCATGAAAGTTTCATCTCCGATCATTAAATTTGACAGTTGAAATGTGTATCCTGATATTTCGAAAATGTCGAATTTGATAGTTTGTTTCTACGGTTTGTTTTGATGGGAAGCATTTAATGGGTGTGATTGGAAGAAATTCTTTATAATATTAAGTATTGGTATCTTTATTCAAAAAAATTTCAAGAACTAAACCAAATGAATAAATAATAATTTGAAAATTTTCAAATACATATGATGGTTATATTTAACAGTTTAAATATAATAAGTTATAAGATAAAAACGCAAACAATTTGTAAATGACAACATCTCAAAATGGAAGATGAATCTACTAACAATTTCTTCTTGTCGTTGGAATGGAGAAGATGTGAAGAAAGTTGGGGTCTTTCGGGTATGAAATCGGTTTATACATTCATATGAATTTAATTATTATTTTTTTATTTTATTTTTGTTGCTTAACAATTTATATTACCCAATATAATATACATATATACGATGTTTTCAACTCAAAATATTACACCATGACATCAATGAGCATTAAATACAACCATTAATGAGAATTAAATGCTCCCTAAAAAGGTTTATCTGAGGGTGATTTGGACATTTCACATTCAAAAAGTAATATTTTTTTAGCACAATTTGTAAAAGTGTTAACTTTTTGTTTTTAAATTTTGTGATATCTACAAAAATATTCCATTATAAAAATAGTATATATAGAAAAAACGAGTTTCAATTACAGCCATTAAAGTTGTCATCATATCTTTACTATTTATATTCCCAACACTCCAACATTATCAAGCCAATTGGGTTACCATCTGTCATTTTCTTGATATTAATTGTCATTCTCAAGATTTCCGACATTTCTTTATGTTTAGTTTCATAATAGAAATAGAGCAATGCTATAAATACAATAATTTTGATATCATGATAGATAGTTCTCTCATATACAAGAGGTGGGGCCACGATTAAAATAATTACAGTCCCACAATTGTAAGAGTGTTGTACATGTATAGCACTGTACACACGACCCTTTTCAAAGAAATAACAAAGAAAAAAGTATAGATAACGACTTCACAACATTATTCTTTGGGCAAATTGCATTGATGGTCACCAATCCATTATTTTAATGATAAATTAGATCCTAACATTTAAAATAAGTAAGTGTTGTTGCATGCACAACCATTATTCTTTTTTCTTCTTCTTCTTATTTTTATTTTCTTAACAACAATGCGTGTGAAAACTCATTTTAACGATGATAAAACATGTCTTGTGTTAAATTTTTAATAGAGTTAAAATATAAAATTTAGTCAGGATGTCAACAAGACGGAGTGGCAGCAATAGCTATTCCCTTTTGATCTTGTCGAGAATTTTCAAAAAGCGAGACGTAAATTAAACTATTTGCATTTATTGTCCAGTTTATTTATTTATTTATTTTAATTTTCAAATACGATTTCAATTGAAAAACATGAAAATTTCGAAGTGGGTTTCCAGAATCATGGCAAGAAGCACGTCAAAGGCAGAGCAAAGAAATTTTCTATTCAAATTTAGCTTCAAATGTGAGGAAAATATAATAGATATTTGGACAGTTTTCATTTTTTGTTGAGGACTAACTTCTTCACTTTAAAAAAGTTAGAGACCAACTTACTGTTTGAAGAATAAGCAAGATCAATAGTGCAATTTTTATTAATATTTGGATTACGATTTTGCTACGAGTACAGAAAAAATTTGACAGAATTCTTATACAAATATAATTGACATTTTTTCATTAATTTTTGATACAATAAACACAAAAATTGTACCATATAAATGTTGTCAACGTAGCATTTATATCATTTATGTCTATAATTCTCGGTACATGTGGAATTATTCTTTGGATTGTTCTCATTTACGGCCACGATGATGTAGCATATCTGGACAAGATCTTTTGAAGCAAATTGAGGTTCACATAATCACACACAATCCAACAATTGCCAGCCATGTATGAAACGCCGTCGTATTGCATGAGAAAGATTCAGCCGATGTCTCAAACAAACGAAGAGGCGAAAAGTTAGTAAAAGAAATGATATCGTCACTCTACACGTGCTCCCTCAAAACGCACAATTTCGAATCCTTCGTGTCAATTTACAGACCGTTTGATCAAACAACTTCGAAAAACAACGATTAGAAAATGATCAAATTCATTGCCACCCAAGAGTAAAATATTAGGCCCGTGGATGCCAATTATTGACACGCAACCAATCAAATTAATCAATCCCAACATATAGGAGTATTTATGGTGGTTCCGACAATCTTTCCGAGATTCTATGAAAATTCTACATTGGGGTGGATTGATGGTTAATAAATGCAGCCATCAAATAGAGAGAAAGAAGCAGTGCTGGCTTGGGGAAGCGTGATATTTGAGGAAGAGCGGGTGTTGCTCTTCGGAGGCGTAGAAGAAGTGGCTGTGGAGGTGAAGATGAACGACCAAGGAACTAACGACTTCGTTGGAGGGTCTGGGACGCATAGGAATGTCCACTCCGATGATCATTTGGCCGTTGAAGTTCCTGACACAGCCCATCAAATCAGCAGCGGTTTTTCTTCTTTTCCATTTAATTCCATTTCATGAATTCAGAATTTACCCTCTTTTAAATTATTTATGGGTTTGATGTTGCATATGTGTCGGCTTTGATTATCTAGGTTCGATTTTTGTTTACTGTTTTTCGTATGAAAATGTCTTGTTTGTTTAAGAGTCAAACAATGGATTTCTGGTTAAATGATCGACAACTTTCTTGTGAACTAGATCTTCGAGCATACATGTTCAATGGATCAATTTCTGTTTTTGGCAACGAAAAATTATTAGAGTTTGAAATTGTTTCTTTGAATATATCGTCCTAATGGTCTAGTTTTATGCTTTATAAATGACGAATTTCCCTATTATATGGGGCTTAGAGTTTGGTGATTATTACAATGGACAAGATTTCAATATGTTCTGAGCAGTTGCCAGGGTTCAGTTCCCGCCACATAGCAAAAATATGGTCATGGGAATTTCTTCTTATGTTTCGTAGTGTACTATAAAGTTCAGAATCAGTTTTGGTAGCTTGAATGGTGTGGAATTGTAGTAATTACACTTACTTGTACCTAATTTGCTTTATGTAGATTCCTGGTTTCAAGTGGGATTTATTCTGACCACCGGTATCAACAGTGCTTATGTGCTGGGATACTCTGGTACTGTCATGGTACCGTTGGGTTGGATAGGAGGCGTTGTTGGTTTGATTTTAGCAACAGCCATATCTCTATATGCAAATTCTCTCGTGGCCAAGCTTCACGAATTTGGAGGAAAGAGGCATATCAGATACAGAGATCTTGCAGGATTTATATACGGTATGAGCAAAATAAAGATAGCATCATAACAAAAGGATATTGAAGCTCCTCAGTGTAGTATAAATCACCTCACATTTCTTGCGTCTAACAACTATCTAAAATCTGTTTTATTCAGTGAGGTTTTGCTTTTGTAGGCGGCAAAGCTTATTCTCTTACATGGGGACTGCAATATGTGAATCTCTTCATGATTAATGTTGGATATATAATTTTAGCTGGTCAGGCTCTTAAGGTAAAATTACCTTCGTTTTCTCCCCTTCACTCAACAACCAACGTGAAATTAGATGGAATTTGTCCATTAAGATATAACATGTAGTTTTCAGGTAAGACAATTGAAGCACTCATTAGCTACCTAGGAAGATATGATCTATGTCCTTCTCATGCTGCTGCCAACCTTTGAAAAACCTTGTGTGCATGTTTGGTACACTGCATTAGATTTTATAGCACAGCATACAAAATTTTAACTTCTTTTCTTAATTAATACTTCTGTGTAATTCATCTAGCCAAATGTGCGATCTAGTTTGGAAGTATTCTACCTATGTCTGAACATGGTGGGATAAGACGACGAGAATCCTAAAGATTTAGCTAATATCCTGATTCTTTTTGACATTATATGCAGGCCATTTATGTTCTCTTCAGAGATGATAATGAAATGAAGCTCCCTTACTTTATTGCAATAGCTGGGGTTGCTTGTGCCCTTTTTGCCATTGCTATACCCCATTTGTCAGCTCTAGGGATTTGGCTTGGATTTTCAACATTCTTCAGCCTAGTGTATATTGTTGTAGGATTTGCACTAGCTCTTAAAGATGGTATGGTTTCTTGCTGTTATCAATTTTTAATATCTCATTAAGTGTCAAATGTTGATGGAAATGTCCTTGATTAGACCCTATTTTGACTAGGAAAATGTCAAATATCACACATAAAGAGTGCCATGTTCTACAGACAAATAAGATTCTTCCTTTAGTACCTTTTGCTGATTATGCAAAATACCTAACTGCATCTATGAATTGAATAAAACCGAATATCCAGTTTTCCCTCCTCAAACCGACTATTTTTATTAATTTACTGCAGCTAGAATTTATTTTAGTGTATTATGTCTTCCTTAATACTATCAAGTTTTGTCCAGTTCACATTTCCAATGTAGTACTTGCTCAATAATAAGAGAGCATGGACATAGTGAGAATGATGGTGCTCGCTTATATTTGATCCCTTAACTTTCAGTCATGAGAATCTAGGAAAGCTTTAGTATTTCTGCTTTATTTCTGTCTATATTGCTACTCGGAAAATTTTCTTATGCTTAATACTCTTACAAATATTTATATATTTTATAGGGATTGAAGCTCCTTCCAGAGACTACAACATTCCAGGATCAACAACCAGCAAGATTTTTACAACCATAGGTGCATCTGCAAACCTTGTTTTTGCTTTCAATACTGGAATGCTACCGGAGATACAGGTGGGAAAACAATATTATTTGGGAGGAGGTTGGCTCCCCTTATTTGAAATGGAGGGTGCCCAGAGAAAAAGATTCCTTCGGGGCAGCTTAGGCTATTGTTTTTTTGGGCACATGTAGCTTGAATGTGACACTCACAGACGAATTATTCTTCTTGCAACAGGCAACAGTGCGAAAACCTGTAGTTGAGAACATGATGAAAGCGCTTTATTTTCAGTTCACATTGGGGGTTCTGCCCATGTATGCTGTAACTTTCATGGGATATTGGGCTTATGGAGTCAACACATCATCCTATTTGCTGAACAGTGTCAATGGTCCTGTCTGGGTGAAGGCTTTGGCTAATATTTCAGCTTTCCTGCAGACAATTATTGCTTTGCATGTAAACAAATTATCCTTCCCCTACTGTTCTTTTTCATTTATTCATTTTTCAAAATACGCACAATTTTACTGATATGTTGTTTGCTAATGTTCCTTTAGTTATCATCTTTCTATCAAATCTTAGTGGAGGCAGTTGACTCCATTGCCTCCCTTTAAATCCGCCAGTGTTTTGTATGCAGCACTGAACAGGATTTGAGAGTACATTATTGAAGATTTTATCTTATTTTCTTCTTCAATATAGTTGAATTACTGAACATTTCTTTATTGCACTAATTGAAGAAGCGTCTTCTGTTATAGATATTTGCAAGCCCGATGTACGAGTATTTGGACACCAAGTACGGAATCAAAGGAAACGCTTTGGCTCTCCGCAACTTGTCATTCCGAGTTGTAGTGAGGGGCGGTTACCTCGCCATCACAACATTTGTCTCTGCTTTGCTACCGTTTTTAGGAGATTTCATGAGCCTCACTGGTGCTATAAGCACATTCCCACTTACATTCATTCTTGCGAACCACATGTACATTGTTGCTAAGAGAAACAAATTGACTTCCATACAGAAGAGTTGGCACTGGCTTAATGTCTGCTTCTTTGGTTGCATGTCTGTAGCAGCAGCAATTGCTGCATTGAGGCTCATTGCTGTAGATTCAAAAACTTACCATGTTTTTGCCGATTTATAATATTCTTTTTTTTTTTATTGGTTGGGAATTTCAATCAGTATGTCAGATTGCAATATTCACTCTTAATGAAGATGTAATTAAGGGTTAGCTTCTCATTCATAATTAATATGATGTTTTAGTTCGTTTATTTCATGGCTGAAGATTGTGGGATGAATTCGGGATTAATACTTTATGCTTTGACACATATTTCTCCCTATGATTGAGATTAAGTGAACAAAATCTCCAGATTTAGAAGTTTGCTATCCCACGTTTCTGTTGGTAGGAATATTGCTCTCATCCTGAACTGGTATATAGCAATGGAGATCTATGCATGCATAGGAATGCACTAGTTTTTATGCTTAGACGGTTGTCATGGTGATCTATATCAAGAATTTGGACTTCTTGCTCGAGTATAAATACTTTATAGGGTTTAGAGATTATGCAGTTAGGACTCTTTCGTATTATCTCCTCGCTTTCTCAAAGAGAAATGGTTACTTCTGAATTGTTCAATATTTAGTAACGTCTTTTATTTCTTTTATCCCATAAAATCGGTAATAACTAGTCTCTATTTAGCCCCCATTTTTTATGCCTCAATTTGGTATCGCTCTCATAGTCTGCACCAAAATAGTGCTTTAGCCCTAAACGTTCAATCAAATGTTGCGCATCAACGTGCCTTCATCTCATAGCCCTTTTCCTACCTAGTCTAGCTTTGTTTTCATTTATCCATAAATGCTATATTTTTCTAGCTAAGTTATTTGTTTGTTGCGCTGAGCGACGTAGCTTCATTCATCTTATTATAGAAAAGAGTTGCCTAGCATTCATTTGATGATCCCAGTGAAATTGAATTCTCCATGAAGATGCTAAGTACCGACGGTTTGAGGGTAATACCTCATTTTTGTTTAAACTTATTTTCAATCACACATTTCATAAAATCTATAACATTTATCAACCTTTAAACTACACACTTCATCAATTTTTATGAAAATCTACTAAATATTTTATATTTAGATAAACCAAACAAGGGCTTAGCCTCCATTTGTACTTTCTATTTGACCTTAATGCCGCCAAAAATTGTACCTTCAAATATTGAGCATAGATTGAGACAAACTTGACCTGGCAACAATGGAATACTTTTTATATCTCAGATTACCTGAAACGAAGGCACAAGGTGTTTACACCGTAGTCCATTCTTTTCGATATCGAATCACGTGAAAGAAACGGGTGCGGTATTTACCATTAGCCCCAGTTGATGCCTAAGACAATATTAGAACCTAAATTAATGCAAACGAATTCATTGTGTGCCTGAATAATGAGTATGGAACGTGTATTTTTGATACTTTAATGGTGTAGTCTCGAGAAGACTGACACCTGTGAGGCTGTGAAATTATGCAAGATATGTAAGATCATGACTCCTAGTAAAATTAAGTGTCCTAGTGTACAGAGAATTGGGGTTTCATGGTGACATTATCATAGCTGAGTCCTAACAGGTTTAGGTCGTCGTGGTAGCCCAATTGTGACATATATCTGACATATATCGGGATCAAGGTTTGCACTCAAGGGCTCGTGTTTAGATTGGTTTGTTAGACTAACTAGGGTCTTGCTCTAAGGCTGTTAACTTATAGTAAGACTATATATCCTAGACGATCCCAAGTTTGATCTTCCGATCAAACTTTTGCATCTTTAATAGTCTAACTAGTATAAATTCTTATCTCTTACCAACTGCATAAACCAATTGCCACAAAGTAAACTTTCATTTTTCTTTCTATCTTATAGATAATACAGCATATCAAGCATACACGCAATGGTTCCTCTTCTTACCGAAAATAATACAAATTATCAAGGGAGTAAAATCTGCCATAAGATGATCAACATGTTCTACAACCATAAGGAAACCACTCATATAATGTAAAATTACTTCAACGAACAAAGGATATAAAATTAAACAACCGAACCAAGATTAGAACGAAAACATATTGTTATTTGGAAAATACAGTAAAAAAGTTCCATTTCTCCAGACGAACATCTTTTTCCACACTTAATTGAATGAATCTCCGCATCGAGTATCATTTCTATCCTGGAACGAAAGAAAATATAGCATCACGAGAATAATAACATTTAAGAACGCTACCAGTGCAGCAACATGAAGCAGATTCTTAACTGCTAGCATATCAAGTCAATGTCATTATGTATATATTGGAAAGAAGTTCAATTTTTAATAATTTGCCACACATTTTTTCGCTTGTTTGCACTTATGTGGTATATCAGGTTTGGGTCCGCAAAGTTACTGGCTCCAACACATCAAAAATTCACATTGACATTGGCCTAAAAGAAAAGGAGACTAATTTTTGACTTTCCAAATACATTTTTCTAAGCCCACAAATATTATGGAATTCTGGGATGTCTCATAGCATTTGATGCTGTGATAATTTGGCAAGCTATGAGAGATCAGCTTTAGAATCCAGAGAGAAGGGGGGGAAAAGTGTCTTCAGTCCACTTCATAAGACTTCATAATCAAATTATAGTCTCTTATGAAGAATAAATATATTACTTACTTCATGAAATACCCCTACGCCCATTAAATTTTATGCTGCCACCCTTTTGCAAAATTTATAATTATCTATAAATAATCAAACTTCATTTTCAACCACACATTCCAATTGACCCAAAAGTACTATCCACTTATTTAGCAATCATTTCTACCTATTTATTTGCTAAACCGTTTATAAATTCTTCCCAAGCAGAGGCTATAACTTTTAAGCAAATCCAAAGATACATTGAAAAAACTGTGAATTACAAATAAAGTTTACCTGCTAAGCAAAACGAGTCCTCCAACGAGAAATCATCCAGATACCAGCTTCACAAGAATGCAGAGCAAGTTGAGAAGTATAAGAGGCACTCTTAAGTACTGTGCAGCATAAATGAGACCAATGATTTGCCCCTTTAACGATTTTCTCCTAACACCAGAATATTCCTGGAAGCTCCACCCCCTGGGGGCAAGCACACGATCTTCATTTAATATGGCCAGTGCATTTGCAAGAAGCAGGCAGCCCTCCAGCAGTGTCCACAAACCCATTTCCTGTGTTACATACTGATTTAGTATCTCTTTCTTTTCTGAAGTCTTTTCTTAGTTACAACAACAAACTAAACCTTTTTCCACAACAAATTTAAGGTCACTAGATCATCTAACTGAATCCTTTTCCTCCACTATATTCGATAGACCTGTTAAAAGATTTTAAGCACATAAATCCTTAGCAACTACCAATGACCATGTTAATTTAATTTCTCTCCCTCCTTCTGACATACTATACCTAGATCACATCACTAGTTTGAACGAGTTTCTGTGCATGCAAAACACGTAATGACTAGTGCCTGACCTACTATCCTCAATCACCATCCCCATGTGTTTGGCATATATTTTGATTTCTTATCTTAACCATTTTAGCATGATCACTCATCCATCTTAGTGTCCTCATGTTCATTACGTCCATTACGTTTATCCTATGGATATTTAGTCATTTAACAACTCAACAATTAGAACGAAAGAGCTTTCTCATTTAATTTCGATAAAGTTGTTTAACAAAAAGAAGAGCAGATGAGGAAGACCAAGTGCCATATTCCACTGACTATATGGAGAAAGATTCTCAAGTTTAGCATGGTAAAATACCATTACTGCAATAACAAACAATTTAATAACTGACTTTCTGATACTAATGGATGATATGTTCATGCTCAATTCCAAGGTATTCTAAAGATGCTGGCCGTAGTGGCCACAGAGAACTATAAGGATGTCAATCTTCGGCATAAAAATGTTCATTTGCGTACACCATTTACACCAACTCAAACATTTCATTATTAGGGGCTGAGTTAATTCAGGTATAGCTCATTTCCTCATTAGAAAAAAGTGATATTTGATCGCTATCAACCAACCAAAATGGTGACCTGGAATACTTTCCTAACATTCACCCTACTAAGAAAAACAAAACTACAGTATTATTAAATTATGCATTTTTCACATTTCAGCCCCAGTTTGACAACCCCTCTTTAAAAACTCTTTTTTCATAAGCTCATTTTCAACCACACATTCCTACACATTCTCACGATGAACCAAAACTTTTTCCTACTTTTTAGCTACACATTAACTAACTACTCAAGAACTCGGTCTACATAAAAAAAAAAAAAAATTAAAAAAAATGGCAGCAATTCCTTTTTAAAATTTCAATCATAAAATTTTCAATATATTTGGCGTAAACAACATTGTTCTTGAATTATGCATTTTTTTTTTTCATTTCAGTCACTTAAAAAAAAAAAATTTTAAAAAATCATCCGTGTCCACTTGATAGTCAAATAACAAATAAATGAGAAGTGCATACCCGTGTGCGTAGAAGCAAACCAAACACCAATTAATTATGCACAATAATTTCAGCCCAAAACATTAAAATAAATTCTCCCAATAAAAAACTAGACAAAACCCACAATAATAACATAATTATGTGTTAAAGATTCACAACTGCAGACAGCAGAGTCTACACATGGTGATCTGATGTTTTTAGGAAACGCAAAGAAAGAAGCGAAAATGACTTAATAGACTGAGCTAAACTTCGAATTATCTCATCAATCATTGACCTAGAATAAAAAAATTCAGAACATATTAATCACTCGCCTTGAAATTTTGGAGGAAGAAGAAACTTGTATTGTATTTGACGAGAAAAGATCCGATATGGTTTACCCCTTTCGTTCATTAGCAATGTTAGGCGCGCGTCATCAATGTTAAATACCGACGAAGCCCTCTGTGTTCCGATTCTTATCTTAGACTTTAGAGAAAATTGCAGCAGCAGTCCGTAACCTTTTCAATTTTTGTAGATTTTATTCTAACTTTCATTTTATGCAATTCACAATTTCAAATCTTTCAAAAATATGCATCTAAAGTCCAAATGAATTCATTGGGCCATTAGTTAACCAAGTGCGTCAAAATTTGATCAATTTTGACCAAATTAAAAAAGGTAAGATGGTAACTTTGTATTTTTTTCTCACATTAAATAAGTTAAAAATAAAATAAAATAACCAAAAATTAAAAATTAACCATTCTTCCTCTCACTCTACTCTTCCCTATTCCCACCCACACCGACTGCCAACATTTCTGGACAAAGGCTAGCCACCACCGCCACCCACACATCATCAACACCGGCAGCAACCACCACCAAAAAAAATCAAAGGCCCTTCCTCACCAGATTTCACAAAATTGCTCCTAGCAATCATCACTTTTCCAAGAAAAGAGCTTCTTGACCTTCAAAATCGACAATCACATTTGCACTAGTCGTGCCTTGGCCGTCTTTAGGCATGAGATTCTTGGCACTGCACACTTCCACAATTTTCTGCTCGCCATGGATTTTGATTTCTACATTAATTTCTTGATCTTGAAACAGTAAAAAAATAAAAAGAAATTATGAACAGTGTATTGCTCTTTCGGTACAAATACAAAACATGAAATACAAGAGAAAGGGGTAATCTTAGAGAGAGACCAGAGAGATTTGTAGGGATCATGTGTTGAGTAGCACTACAATTTATGAGGGTGAAAATTGAAGAGCGATATGGGGTTTAACTGTAATTTATATGGGTAGTTACCAGTAATGTTGATGGTAGTGGTGAGGAGATCGATGTTGGTGGTCGTGAATGGTTATTTAGTTTTGATTGGGTGGAGGTGGAAGTGGGGGTGTGGTGGGTGGAGTAGGAGGAAGAAGGTGGGAGTAAGGGTGTGGTGGCGGCTGATGCATGGCGATCAACCACCAGTGGGAGGGAAAAAGTGTTTCTTTCTTTATTTTTTTATTTAGTTTAACTTATTTAATGGGAGAAGAGGGGTAATCTTAGAGAGAGACAAGAGAGATTTGTAGGGATCATGCGTTGAGTAGCACTAAAATTTATGAGGGTGAAAATTGAAGAGCGATATGGGGTTTAACTGTAATTTATATGGGTAGTTACCAGTAATGTCGATGGTAGTGGTGAGGAGATCGATGTTGGTGGTCGTGAATGGTTATTTAGTTTTGATTGGGTGGAGGTGGAGGTGGAAGTGGGGGTGTGGTGGGTGGAGTAGGAGGAAGAAGGTGGGAGTAGGGGTGTGGTGGCGTCTGGTGCATGGCGATCAACCACCAGTGGGAGGGAAAAAGTGTTTCTTTCTTTATTTTTTTATTTAGTTTAACTTATTTAATGGGAGAAAAATGCAAATTACCATTTCACCCCTTTCAATTTAGTCAAAATTGGTCAACTCTCACTTTTCTTGGTCAACTAACAGTCATCCATTTGGACTTCAGATGTATATTTTTGAAAAATTTGGGACTGTGAGTAGCACAAATGAAGATTGTGAGAAAGTCTACAAAAATTAAAAAGGTTAAGAAACACTGCTACAAATTTCGCTAGATTTTAAGTAAACACTTCCACTAATATAAACATTTTTCATAATAAAATAAATATTCAAAATATCTTCACTTTTTTTCCCCTCATGTCCTCGTTTTCACCACCCTTAACACAATAAATAGCGAGTGACATTGAATAAGTGAAATTGGTTTTGATCACTTCTTAATTATTTAAGTGGAAATTGTTATTTGGTGAATGAAAAAATAAGTCAAATTTAAGTTACTTAAATACGTAAATTACGTAGAATATTATGGAATATTCTAAAAAATTATTTTACCGAAAAAGTGTCTTTCTATATGAAAGATTGTGATTTTTGGTATTATTATTTTTAATAGATGTGTCTCTTCAAATATGAAGACTAATTCCAATAGTTGTATCTCTTTTATAGGTAATGTCTTTTGAGACAAATTTTTTCAACGACTATGTATAGACTCCATGTGTTTGTTTTAATTCATTCATTCCATGATCGCATTATCATGCTACTGCATATTCACATCAAAATTCTACATTTGTTTGGAGTTAAATTTCATATAAAAAGGGTTCAAAACATAAGCAAGTTCGTTGATCTATATAATTTGGAACACTCCTATTGTGTGACGTTGTCATTGTATTTTACGAGACGATTGTGTTGGGGAGAAAGCGCGAGGGTCGAGTTTGGTTGACAAATAATGGAATTGAGAAAACATAGCTAAAAATAGACACAGGTATTTACGTGGTTCATCCAATTTAAGCTACATCCACGGGCAAGTATAGGAGAATTTCACCATAGTAGGAGAATTACAACACACCCTTTAAATACAAGGAAATAATAACAATTAATCTCTCTTGTAATATGAGAAAACAAGTAGGAAAAAAATAATAAATTTTCTCTCTACTCTTCTCTCTACCTTACAATTTTCTCTCTTAATTTTTCCTCTCCATATGACACACCATTTTCTCTCAAACTCTTGCCCATATTTATAGAGATTTTTAACCTCCATAATTGCTTGGAAGAGTCAAAGTTCTGCCACCTTCATTTGCTAGAATTCTCTACACATTTAGCTTATCAAGTAAATGGAGAAAGAAAACTTGAATTTCTCAACCTCCCTTGTATGCATGCATGGAGTCTTTCTTAACAATTAAGAAATCAACACCTTATCCATTTGGTCAAAAAAATGTGGCTATCATTAGTTGGAAACTCCAATTTTGCCACCACCTCCACTTGTATGCATGTATGTATTTTTCTTACTTGTTAAGTAATGTTTTATGGTCCAAAAATGTGACTTTATTTTCAACATTTCTCCCACTTAAAGTCACTTTTGTTGA